AAATTGTCAATGAAACCCAATGCAAAGCAGGCTTCAAAAAATAAAAAAGCTATGTCCAATACTATGGGAGAGGCAATATCATCAACTGTAGTTTCAGGTTGGGCATGGCTCCCGAGCGACCTTTTGTATCTGATCGTAGAGAAGTTGATACCAATCACTGACTACATCCAGCTTGGTGCAGTTTGTAAGAATTGGCAATCAGTAGCTCGTCATCAGAAGCATCAGCGCCTCAAATCATGTCACAAGCAGCTTCCAATGCTAATGGTTCCCAGTAAACACAACTGCCACGAAAGGCATGGCTTGTATAGTGTCACAAAAGGAAAGACTTGCAGCTTTGAGTTGCATGTGCCTTACAATAAAAGGCTTTGCGGTTCTTCCAATGGTTGGTTGGCTTGTGTGGATGAAAATTTGGAAGTAACCCTTTTAAACCCTTCCACCAAACGTACCATTCGCCTTCCAACATTTGCACAAGTCCCTCAACCCATACACAAACAAGCTTATAGAAGTGATGACTATATTAAGAAGGTTGTATTGTCTGCAGACCCTTCTTTGTTTCCAAATGATTACGAAGCTGTGGCACTTTTCGATAGTAATGGAACCAGAGTAGCTCATATTAAGTCAGGGGATCATGGTTGGACTCACATAGATCAAACAATCAGATTTTTTTATGGTCTGAATCAAGTGATTGGATTCGATGATGTGATCTATTACAGAGGCCAGTTTCTTGCTGCTAGTAGGGAGGGTGGGGTTTTTGCAATAAACGTTAGCAAGGATCCAACTTATAAACCTCATTGAAGCATAGTTGTACCAATGGTTCAAGGTATTGATGACCAAGCATATCTTGTGGAATCGTCTAGGGGAGATCTATTGCTGGTTAGGAAGTTCCAAAGTTTGAATTATGTTGAGTGTTTTACGGAGACTTTGAGCTTCTAGGTTTTCAAGCTGTTCTCTGATTGTGGGGATAAAATCGAAAGCGAACGGATTGAGGAGATTGATAGTGTTGGAAACGATGCTTTTTTCATAGGTGGCAATAATCACTCCATGTGTGTCTCAGCTTTAGACTTTCCAGGTTGTCATCCGAATTCCATATACTTCTGATAAATGGGTGGGTATGTTGCTTATGATGAAGTTCAAGGGCCTCTTGGCATGGCAGTCTTCAATTTCGAAAACAGAAAATTTGGAACAAATTACTACTGCTTAAGTCCTTCACAGAAGTACATGCCACCATCAATTTGGATTTTGAACACCATGGTGTGAAAAGATGGTTCCACTTGTTCTTTGTTACCTGTTCCATATGGTAGAATAATTTCAAGCTCTGTTTTCATTTTATTTGTGATTCTAAGCCTTCACACGTTTGTTCCTTGTGGAAACAAATATGTCAACCTAAACAATGTGTTCACGTTGAAAAGTGACTCAAACAATGTATCTCCCATGAATCAAATCATAACGCATAAAGATTTAATCCTTTGACAAGGAATCTTATATCATGATGTGCCTTCATTGTATGTAGCAGCACAAAATAAAACTTGAAATTTATAATAAGCTAAGGTATTGGCTGCATGTTTGACAGAGATTTGATGTAAGGGATTGGCCTAATCAGCATCATGTTTATTACCCTCCAATATGGCTTCACATTTTCACCTGCAAATCTCATGGAGTCTCACCTACAATTCTACAACTTGGAGTCTCATGGAGTTAACCATATCCTGTAGCAAGATGCTAATGTTTATTTAGAAACTAGAGAACTGGATAGTGAAGATGCAAGAATCGCCAACTATTTCGATGTGATTGCAGGAACAAGCACTGGTGCTCCTGCTTACTCACTGCCCAAAAATCTTCCCCCAGAAACAGTAATGTTTACAAGTTAAATGTCAACTTTTTGTTAAATATTGATACAGAACATTGTTGTAAAAATAGATTCTGATATAAGCATTATTAATTTTTTAAACAACACCAGTCCAGTATTTTTTTCATACTACAAAGATTATCAAAGCTTTAGAGCATGACCAAAATACAATGGAACGTACCTACATGATGACTTGGTTGGGCAGAAACTTGGTGACAAAAAACTGCACCAGACCAGACATTAACTAACTTTGTCATTCCCGCATTTGACATAAACCAGCTCCAGCCAATTATCTTTTCCAGCTATGAGGTTGCCCCTCTTACTTTGAATTTAACCCATCATATCACTTCTTAGCTTAATTTTCTTTTTGATCATCACCTTAATGTTATGTTATTTGTTAATTACTCTGTTTAAATCATGTGCTTTTCTTGGGTGGTTAGGTGAAACACAAGCGATTCTTCGATTCAAAACTCTCAGACATATATGCATTGCAACCTCAGCAGTCATACTGAGTTTTTGTTTTTCTTCATCTTGTTGAGTGAGTATGGTACTAAGATTATAAGTTGTGGCTTTTGTGAGATATAGTGATCGAGTTGTTTTGGGCCTTTCGACATGTCGTCTGGACAAGTGGTTCAGGTGCCTTGTGAAATAGGGCATGCTGGTTATAATCCTAAGCAACTTGTCGTTCGGAAATTCCCACAAAAGTCTTAACAGGGCTTGACCCATTTTAGTTGGCAAATTTCAATACCAATCCATTTCTGTTGATGAAATTCATCACCAAACAAAAAGTGAATGGCCTTTTTCCAAAAATGAGGCAAGTTGATTTATTAAATAATGCAACTTTACAACTAGGAAGGGATGCATTCACAAATATACGAACCAAACCCTGCATATTGAAGTGACCCTCAAACCATGGTGTTGGCTTAATCAACGGGTCTCTGATCGGAGATCCAACCTAACCCAAGAACTAGCCTGTCCAACCATCCAACTTTCGAAAGTCCCGAGCATGACTGTGTTCCCTGATTTTCAAGATGTCAGGTGGATTGCAATAGTTGCAACTAATTCCTCTCTAACTCTAATCGGATTGCAATAGTTCCCTGATTTTCATGACTTAATTACCGATTTGCTTAGTTACAATCGTGTATATCAATTGAATATTTATATTTAATTAATGATTAATACCAGAACAGATCAATGAAAACTTTTGGATGCTCATCATTTATATAGGGGCTTAGTTGCATCATGGGAGATAGAAATTCAGTGCCACCTGTTTTATACAAGGATAGAGAACCAAATGTACCAAGTAATGCAATCTTCTGGATACATGCCATTCATTGTTCAACCATTATAATTGGCGTACATGCCTAAAAGTTTAGGTGGTATTTATGCAAATTTCCCAATTAAAATTTTCACAAATGCTAGTTTCCTACGTTGGTCTAAAATAAAGAGGCCATCCCATGAGACAAAATCCTATTAAAAAGAAATCACAACATGTAATTAACAATATCAATTTGACTTAGAAAAGGAAGGAAAAGTTTAAAGTCTTAACAAGTAGCAATTAGTTTAGTGATGCTTATCTTCACAACATTCCAAATTCGAATCTCAACCCCCATCAATTAAAAGAAAAAACACTATTGGTGGGGTTTGAACTCTTTGATTTCCAAACGGATAAAAGCAAACCTTTTGGATATTGATATACTATGGGTTTCGGATTGAGATTTCAAATTAAACTAGGATTGAGACGCTTTATGTGATAGTTTTCTACGCGGATTAGGATTGTTGGGACTACTTCTGTATAAAATGGAAAGCCTAGGCCTGCATGCAAATACATACAAGTTGTGCAACTACTGATTTTTTGAGTGTGAGGAAATTAACGAGCACTACATATGGCGGAGGCATTATCATCAACCTTTGATTCCGGTTGGGCATGGCTCCCAAGCCAAGTTCTAGATTTGATACTAGATAAGTTGATACCAATCTCCGAAGATGTCACCCGAAGAGCGCTCATTTTGGATACTCTTCAAGTTAGGATGATTAATGTATTTTGATCATCTTGAATTTTGTAACTATATTTTTGTTTGTCCTATTTTCGTTATATTTTGGTTGAACTATTTTAGTTATAATTTGGTTGAACTATTTTGGTTGTAATTTGATTAAATTAATTGATGCATGTAGTTGTATGCTTTTGGTTCATTTGCAATTTGATTGGATTTTACTTGCTTCGTAAATCTATCAGTTGAGCTTTGTGAAACTAATTTCTGGATTGTGCAATGCTTTTGTCTATTTTAGACTATGTTTTGCCTACCATAAAGTACCATCACAGACACAGAGCTTTCCTCTGTTATTCAGGGATATGTGTCAATCCCAAGTGTCAATAGGAAAATCTATAGGCTGCCAGAGACTACAATTCATGGTCATAAAGTTCTCAAAATATTGTTTGTTTACCGTTGATTCTGTAATGCAGTGGCAATCGTGGTGCAAGTCCTGTTTATTCATATGTAATGCAGCGGCAATCGTGGTGCAAGTCATGTTTGTTCATATTGAATGAAGATGTTCAATAGTTCTCAATTCTGAATATTATAGAC